TTTTAGACCATGATTTTTGGAGCTAATTTAAGACTATAATTCAAGCCATAGTTTTAAATTGGTTCTAAAACCATAATCTAAACCATGGTATTAACTTAGCTTCAAAACCATGATGGATTTAAATCAGCTCCAAAACTATGATTCAAACCATGGTCTTAAGTCAACTCCAAAACCACGATTCAAACTATGGTCTTAAATTGGTTCCAAAACTATTATTTAAACTATAATCTTAAATCAGCTTTAGAACTATAATTCAAGCCATGGTCTTAAGTTAGCTTCAAAACCATGATTCAACCCATGGTCTTAAGTTGATTTCAAAAATCATGGTTTTAAATTGGATTCAAAACTATGATTTAAACTATGGGTTTGGAGCTGATTTAAGACCATTATTTGAATCATAGTTTTGGGGCTGACTTAAGACTATGGTTTGAATCATGGTTCCAGAGCTGGGTTAATACTATAGTTTAAATTATAGTTTTGAAACTATAGTTCAAACTATAGTCTTGTTGTAATTAGTCTTAAACCAGTTAAATATTTTGGTCCAGATTATAGTCTAATTTTTTTAGACTAAGACTAGACTGAATAGGTTCAGTTTTGCTTAGGTTCAGACCAGCATATGATGAACTATGGTCTATTAGTTCAAGACTAGACTGGATAACATCTCTATAGAACAGATAACATAATAACAACATAAATAACAATTTTTGATAATAATTTTAAAATTAGGGCAATTTAGTATAATGACACAAATTATAACTACAGATTAAGGAATAATTACTATTTTACTGTAATCAGTAAAAAAAACAGAGTTTTTATTAATGCAAGTTATTTTCCCGGACTTTCGGGGAAATAAAAGCGTTGCTGGGGAAATAGCTTAAATTGATAAAAATTCAGTTTTTTTAATTAATTAAAGTAGGATTATGAGTCACAAAGCTCCGTCATGATATCCTATAAAAATGAAGAATAATATCCTTATTTCACTGCTATGGAAAATAACCTGGTAGATCTCCATTCTGCTATGGGCCCCAGATGACTGGAGATGTACCTCTTATTTCTGCTGTTGCAGAAAATAAATAGTATATAACATGATTATATAAATGCAAATAACTTTAAAATCATGCCTCTCCAAAATAGTATAAATGGTCTCAAATTAACACCCATGAACGTCTTGGCTAATGAAGCCTAATATAACTTTGGCTACCCAATACGAAAGTATTGGAGCAGCTTTTTGTTCCAAATCAGTTACGGAGGCATATTAAGAGATCAGGTATTGAGTGATTTTATGCAGATGACTTATCATGTGTTTTTAGTAGTCTCTTGCATTGTTATAATTTATGGTATGATTCAGTTGATTATTGTTTAATTTTTGTGACATAATAATGTAGTTTTGTTGATTAGTAATCATTAGTTAGTATTTAAGGGAAATAGGGTATTTTCCCAAGAAAGATAAGTTTTGTTTTTTCTACTAACTCGACTTTGTCTGGTTTTATCATGCTATACCTATACAGTCAGACCTTGTTATAGTCACTCTTGATATAGTCACAACTTTGATATAATCATACTGTTTTTTAACTCGAGCTATTATAAAGTATATAAAATTTAACTTTTATATAGTCACGACTTTTTATAATCACCAGATTTTTGTTTTCCAAGCTAGTGATTATATTGAGATTTAACTGTACCTATAATTTAGACACTTTATTGTTACCAAATTTTTTTCTATATCAATTATACCATTGTTATTTTTAAAAGTATAAAAAATAAAGAAATATATATTCAAAATAAACAAAGTTTTTTTGTTACATCTTTAAGAAAAGAGAAAAATTTTTTATTACCTTCGTTCTTGTTGTTATGTTACCGTTTAATAATAATAATAAAGAACAGGATCTGGTGGTATCTAATGGTACACCAACTCAGCTGAACATGTCTCAAGTGGCTTTGGAATCGAGCTTAAAACGTCTATCATTAGAGGCATTAAGGTTCATTTGTAAGGTATCGGGTATTTCAGATTTGGGTTTCAAGAAGGAGGTCGTGACAAGATTGCTCAAAGAAGGAAGAGGCCGATATCTTTGGGTCTCCGGAAAAGAAAGGAATGTGCAACTGCAGCCATTAGAGAACCAGAGTGAAGAGTTTTTAGATGAACCTGAAATGTTCAAGTAGACTAATAATAGGTCCCAGCAATCGAGTTCGGGGGTATAAAAGCCTCTAGGTGCTTTTAAAAAGTAGGCAATGCTTGGTTCGAACATGTTACCAAGTGGGCTCTTAGATAATGGAGCTTTAAATTGGGAGCAGAATTGGGTGCTTTGTCGTTAAATGACATGGGCTATAAGAATATGTGGGAGAAATGTGAATTGATAAAACAGCATAACTAGTGAGAGTATAATGAATGGTATAAAACTAGAGCATTGTTAAATAAGGCATTGGTTTTAGGTAATATAACTTATGTATATTTGGCTAAGCAGATTATCATAGAAAGGGCCTATATGGTGAGAGTGGCAAATGAGAATGGTTGGGAGATTGCTTCTAAGATTGCTACTATGAACATGTCAGATCCAATATCTAAGATTTTAGGAAGTAAATATAAAAGAGCTAGATTGGCAACACAATGTTTCTCAAAGGCCAAGAAGCCAAAGTTACTGTTTTACCCTCGTTTTGGGCGGTTCCCAGTATCAACTTCTGTGTTTCAGATAGGTGGGTTCTCTACAACTCAGCTCTCACAGTTTTAGCCATATATTTAGCAATCAGGTTTTCATCATCAGTTTTCAAGTCAACCATTGAGTCCGCAGGTGCCTTTTGGAGGTTCTTGGGCTCTTCCTGCTCAAGCTGTACAGTCAGCTCCCCAGTTTTTTCAAGATGGACAATACCAAAAAGTTGTCAATCTGAATGTTGGCTTGTCGACTCTGGAACAGCAGCAAGCTTTTTCCCTAGCACTATACTGAGCAAGGAAGGGTGATAAGAATAAATAGACTAAGAGAAAAGAGGTAGTTTGCTAGTTATGTGAGGGTAAAGGACATTTTGCCAATAAGTGTAGTTTTAGAAAGCATCTTGGCTAGCTCTTTCGTGAGGATGGTGTGCAATCGGGAAATAGTTGACTACACTCAGGGGTGATGGTGTTGGAAAAAATAGAGTCAGATTGTGTGACAGGAAGAATTCATGACCAGGTGGCAATAAGATATTGGGAAGAAATAATAAAGCTGTCGCAGTTGTTTTGAGGTAGTTAAAGGAAGGAATTCTGTTGTTTCTAAAAAATTTAATGCATTTAGTAGCCAGTCTGGTCCCAAAACCTTATTGTTTTACAAAGGAAAAGATGCTTTGGTTGAGAAAGGAGTTGGAGAGGTTGGTGTTAGAGGAAGCAATAGTAAAGCTAGGCAAAGGAATTTTTCATCCAGTAGACTTTTTGGAAGTAAGCCTTGTTTTTCTGGTTCCAAAGCAGAGCCCTTGAAAGTTTCATTTAGTAATCAACTTGCGAAGATTAAACCAGTTATTGCCTCAGAAGTCTTTTCAGTTCGAGGGGCTGGGCGGTCTGTTGTGAATGATAGGCAGAAGTTGGTGGCTAATTTCCTTTAATCTGAAGAATAGTTATTATCATGTACTGATGAGTATCAAAGCACAAAGAATGCTGGGTTTTGTCATAGAGGAAACGTGGTATCAGCACCAGGTGTTGCCGTTTGGCCTCAGCCAAGCCCACTGGGTTTTTTCGAAGATAATGAAGGCTATAATTAGCAAATGGTGGGCCTAGGGAGTATATTGTGGGAGCCATTTGGATGATGTTTGGGTAGCTCATCTAACAAAAGAGGGTTTATTGGAAATTAGAGACAGGATTATCAAGGTAGATCTAACAGGTTGTGGTTAGGTTCGGGCCAAAGAAAAAGGGTGCTGGGACCCAACACAAATATTTAAGTTTTGCAAAATGATAGTAGACATGTTGAATAGGGTAGTGTAGTGATAGCCTCGAAAGAAAAAATAGCTTCAACTATTTCAAACCTGGAGAGAATTTTGCAGGCACTAGTGGTTTCCACAAGAGACTTGGTATCAGTAGCGAGAAAGATTGTGAGTTTAGAAAGAGTGTTTTTACTGAGCCAAGTAAAGTACATTGAATTTTACAAGCTAATAGATTTTAAGAATCGGGCAGTATGGCAATGGGATAGCAACATTCAACTGTCTGCTCAAACAATTGAGAATATTTGTTGGTTGGTAAAAAACCTAATAAGGTAGAATAGCTGGCTGGCCTAGAAACCCTTACGAGTAAGATTGGTGTATGTTGATGTATCGACAAGGGGTTAGTGTGGTATTTTTCAGGGGCACAAAGCTTCAGAAAGTTGGGTGCAGCTACATGCCCAAAATGTAATAGCCCAGTTAGAGATGTTGGCTGTACTTCAGGCACTTTAATCATTCAAAGGCCTGCTGAAAAAAATCTGAATTACTCTGTTCATCAACAACAGAGTAGCTTTGAAGATGGTATCGAATAGAGGTCTTATAGACTGGTAGAAGGACATCAAGAGAGAGATTTGGGAGATGTGTGTAGAAGCTAATATCAGAATTTTCAGTACAAGATGGATTCCGAGCAAATTGAACCCAGCAGATTTGTTAACCAGAGTTCTGGATTAGAGAGATTGGATATTAAGTTTGGCGGTGATGGCCCATTTAGAGCAAGTATGGAGAAAATTCGAGGTGGACACATTTGCAAGTTACCTAAATGCGAAGACCCAGAAATTCAATAGCCTCTATTTTTGTCCCAGAGTCGAGGTAGTAGATTGTTTTACCCAAAATTGGGCTGGAGTAATAAATTATGTTTGCCCTTCGTTTAGCTTGATTCACAGGGTTTTATATCATACTAGGGAATGTGGGGCCCTAATAGTTATTATTGTTCTGGTTTGGGTCTCTGCGCCATGGTGGCTTTTAATAGTAAATTCACAATGAAAGGAGATCGATTTACCTCCAGCGAGCCAGATAATTTACCCAGAACCTTTAGAAAATTTGGAGCTTTGCAAAAACAAGCAATGGGCTTTGAGAGCAGTACTCCTGAATTGGTTGAAGATTTGTTAAATAGGGCCAAGATTTTAATGGACAATTCTATCTGTATTTCGTATAGTAATGTTGAGAGAAGGCACAAAGGGTTTTTGTGGATTTTGCTTAGTAGGTGGGGTTGCCCCCCATACCCAGCTTCAAATGAGCTTTTGGCAGCTTTTTTTGCTTGGTTAGAACTTTTCAAGAGGGTTGTGGAGATGCCAACTTGCTTGATGGCAATTGCTAGAGAGTACAAGGTTAGAGGCTTGGTGAACCTGACAAAAAGTAGTCAGATTCAATTGATTGTTGAGGGTATTAGGAGAACTACAGCTTATGGAAAGCAGAAGCCAAGTGGCCACGAGACCCACTTCTGGTTTTGGTAATTAGAAAGTATGTGAAATGTCCTCTGCATGGTGCCAGTATAGTGCTATAGGCTCGGGATCTAGCCTTGGTGGCCTTGGGTTTAAGAGTTATATGTAGACTGAGTGAACTGTACAACTTGAGAAAGTCTAATGTTATTGAGAAAAACAGAAAATTATAAATAAGAGTCATGAAGTCCAAAACGGACCAATTAGAAAAGAGTAAGTTTATTCCAATTGAGTAGTCAACAAGTAATGTGTGCCTAGTTAGATTATTGGATCGTTACTTAAGACTTAGACCTGTAACATTACCGGACGATCCTTTGTTTTTGTCAAAGGATAGTAAAAAGTTGTCTGTTGCAGCAGTTTCTGTAATAGTTAGACATTTTGCAGAAAACGCTAGTTTACAGAGAAGGTACACAGAGCTTGAGGATTGGTGGTGCTATGGCAGCTATGAGAGGTAGAATGATCTTGGGGCAAATTCAGTCAATTGGTGGTTGGACTTCCAAGGCTATGCAGCTGTATATGAAAGCAGTAGGTATTGCAGAATTAGGGATCTCAAGTTTAATGGGGTTTTGATTAATAGTAATTAGATTCTTTATATATGAAAGAAAAAAACCTTTTGTAGCGATGCTTAGCAAGGACCCATATTTGATTTCTATTTATTACTAATTGTTTTCCAATTGTTTTCTGTTTGTTTTCGGTTTGATTGCCAATTGTTTGACATCTGTGATACCCTTTTAATAAGAGACAAATTTGGCTATCTGATACAAAAGTATCAGAGCAGCTTTTTGTCCCAAATTAGTTATGGGGGTATATTAAGGAATCAGGTATTGAAGGACCTGAACATCTTCAATATAGGTCATAACTGATCTGCATAAATTTTGGGGTTTTTGCTACTCCTAAAATCAAATAAATTTGCTAAAAATCTAATTATTACATATAAATTTTGTAGTAATTTGCTAAAAATTAAATTATCACATCTATTTTTAATAAATATAAAATTAA